GTACCAGCTACTAGGAAGGAAATTAACTCCATCCCTGCCGAAACCAGGACACCCATATATAAAGTCAGGAGACTTTATAAGGAGAGCAGAGAGGTATGAGCCTGGAGCTGTTTGTCTGGCTGTGCTGGTGCCTTACGGTTTTGGGGATTTTTCTTTGCTTCCCTTGTGCTCAGGCTTTTGATCCCCAGCTTGGTTCCAGGTGGGGGACACTCAGTCGGCCTGTGCTGGTTGCCCCGAGGAGCACCGCTACACACAATTTTATGTTTATCTTGTGGGTCAGGCTGGGATATGGCCGGCAGCTTTCTGCAGAGGAGCTGTGCCTGGGCTGGGAGCTGGCAGGAGACTTCTCTGCCTGAGCATTGGCCCCCGCAGCTCACCAGGGCTGTGTGAGGGCTGGTGGCAGATGGTGCTGCCTGCTGGAGCCCTTCCCGGCCACTCATCCCTGCTTTCCCTCCTTCCTCAAGGAAGAGGTGGCACCTGGCGTTTATGGAGAGGCCTGGGTGCTGTGTGACACTGACCTTCATCTGTCACCCTGGCTGTGTTCTGCCTTCTTTGCGGCAAGATGATAGAAAAAAACCAAAACAGGCTCTGGATCCAAATCCACATTGTCTGGGATACTTACGTAGTCATTTACTTATTCCTACCAAAATCCCTTTGGTTTGTGGCTTGACATGATATATTGTTTTGTGATGAAGGATAATGATCACAAATTCATGCAGGTTTCTTTGAATGTCTCAGGCACCTCCCAGAAAGTGGACAGTTAGACGTACCTGACTTTCTCTGCAGCCTTTTTATCTGACAGCAGGCATGAGTTTGTGAGAAATCGTTCCTCTTTGTGCCTGCACAGGCTTCACACGGGCGAGTGATGGACAATTGGTGTCGGCTCCAAAGCTGTCACATCCATTCAGGGTTTCATCATTGTCTCTGCCTGTGCAACACTTTGGGGAAGTTCCTCAGCACATCCCTCACTGTCACACAGTTTGCACGTAGGCATCGCTCCAGCTCTCCATGGCCCTGACATACCTCAGTTAATGAAACAGTTTGGTGTTTCTAATGGATCCTGGATCATGGACACCGGTGCACGCTCAAGACGCAGAATTGAAAGACACTCATCATTGCAATCTGTGCACTGTTTAGTCAGTGGTGCATCATGCAGATGGTGAATTATAGATTTGCTCTGTGGTCTGCAGTGGTTACCAAATATCCAGGAAAAGCAGTCCCAGGGGTTTAGTTCTGACCTACAAGCTCCTGGCCATTGCAAGGGAAGGTGTGACATATATATTAGCTTGAACTGATAGCAGGCTGGTCAAACTCGCCAGCCCTGGGAACTGCAAACCAGCATCATCTCATGGTGTACCAGAGGCTCTCCTTGTCCTTTGGGGGGTGAGGGCGATTCCCTCAGGCTCGGACTCTGAGTGAGGCATGAGAGGAGGTGGCAGCAAGCAGCTCCCTGTGGGACCAGAGGGTCAGGTTCCATGGCAAGCTGGTTGGGCTGGCTTGATCTTTCCCATTGCTGGCAGCCTCCAGACCTGCTCAGCCTTGAGGCAGATGATGTCCCAGGCATGGGAGCTGACTTTGAGGTACCTGTAAGCAGTGCACTGCTGAGGACCCAGTGGCCAGCCTGGTGTCTGGGTGTCAGCGATGGAAATGTTCCCAAAACATCCTTGGAGGGCTTGTGCTTGCATGTGCTAGCCTGGGCTGTTGCTGTGTCTTCAGTACTTTGGTTCTCTGTGGTAGCTAGAACAGATTTTTTCACCCATGTTGCATCATGTCTTACCTGCACTGCGTGTGTTCCCTTCGTGGCTCGTCCATGTGGATGTGGCAGCACTTGGGATGAGTTATTGCAGTCAGATTAGCAGCACTCTGATTTACCGCAGGAAGCTGTTGGAGGAGTAACGTTGGGGAGTCTCAGATGTGCGGCTGGAGTGCACAGAGAAGGTGATGCTCAGTCTGTCCTGGAAACTCTTCCAGCTCAGAGCTTTTCTGGAGTTTAACAGTACCAGGTGGGAGTTACTGACTTCAGTTTTGCTTGTTGGCATTGTCCAAGTAGTCTGGATTGTCCGGTTGTGTGGTCTCACCTCTGGTTAGTGAGGTGGAAATTACATTTCAGTAACACTTAGAGTTTTGGGAGCATAATGGCGGTTTTGGGTAGTTTCTGTGTCAGGGGGATAGGTGCAGTGATGTGAATCAGGACTGGGAGCTGTGCCTGCCACTGTGGAGGGACTCTTCTCCTGCAAACATATGTACCTTCTTTTCACCTCTCCGTGCCTCAGTATTTCCCTTGAAGGAATTGGGTGGGAAACCACCCATTCCATAGCATGTTTTCAGGCAGTTCTTTATCACTAAGCTAAACAGCACTAAGTGCTCCAGGATCCTCCAGGGGTGGACACTAAAAAGCGGTGTTTAATTTTTGGAACAGTATACTGTTGCTGGAGAGTTCACTTGTTTCTCTCATGGACTTTCTCCAGCATTAATCGAATGATTAGTGAAGACTGGGAGGTAGAGTTGTCCACACTTGGTGTCAGCTCTCAGGTCTCTCACTCTCCGTAAAGCCACCCTACACAGTGCTTAACCTTTGGTCACATCTAATGATTGCTGAATTACATTTATGACAGGGGGAGAATGTATGGTAGAAAAGGAAATTCTCCATCCACAGCGGTAAGGCTCTTATGTTGTTACTAATAGTCATGTTTCAGCAATTCATCTTCTAAGAGGTGGAATCTCAGCTGCTGACTTCTGGAGCATTCAAGGCCCCAGTAGCACAGCCAAGGACGAATGCGGTGGCTGAGGCACAGCCCAGAGCTTGCATCTCTGTCTCTTTCCTGCTCCCTTTGGCCTCTTCTTGGGTGCTCTGGCTGCCCACGTGGACACACAGTCCCTGCAGACCTTCACGTTCCTGCCTGCTGCCCTGCGGCTGTGCCCCAGGCACGTCTCAGTGCCCAGGCATGGGAAGGTGGCCTGAGAGCTGCTCACGTTCCTATGGTTGGAGGTACCTTCACCTTGAGAAGCTCATAAGCCAGCTGCCTGGAGGAGCCATTTATCCACATTGGCATAAAACATCATTAAATGTGAACCAGCCTGTTGCTAGCAGTCAGAGCTAGCCGGGCTGGCTTCGACTTAAAATTTACTAGCAGCATTCATGTGGTTTATGATAGGAATCCTGCCTTTGGTGGAAGTAACTGTAGAGGTTTGTAATGGAAATATTAAGGTTAGTGTGGATGGAGTGTGAATGGAAAAGTATGTGTCAAAACACCAGCAGGAACGCTAGAACAAGGGATGCAGAGATGGCCTGTGCTGATCACCAAAGACAGAGCCGACAGCAAACAAATGGGTAAACACGGCGGGCTGTGTGGTTTGCGTCAGGACCAGGAGGTCTGTGC